GAAGGAAGGAAGGAAGGAAGGAAGGAAGGAAGGAAGGAAGGAAGGAAGGAAGGAAGGAAGGAAGGAAGGAAGGAAGGAAGGAAGGAAGGAATGGAGGGAAGAAAAAAATACATACTTGATTTTCTTCCTTGTATCATAGAGCAGGGGAAAAAGGAAATTATTCATGGCTAATTTTACTCTCAGTTTTATCTAAAACCTAGATTTGTTGAGAGATTTACTTCCTTGAGGTAAGCCAAAAAGGCAATGGGAAAGCACGTCTCAGTAAATTGTTAAGGAAGGGATGTTTGTGATGGTTGCGAGAACAATTGAGAATTCAGTCAGATCTGGTCCTTATGCTCATGGCCAATAGGATCAATGGATCAATAGGACTAGCAACCTCTTCACAAACTCATGCAAGCCATCTTAACCCTCCTTCCCATCCTACTCTTCTCGCTCTCAGTAGAGACAATCCATCTTAGTCATATTTGTCTTGGAAAAGCTCAGTGAAAGTCACATAGTCAATAGGAAACTGAAACCTGCCCAACTATGGTGCAGGGTAACACATTAGACACTGGAATGATGAGATTAACAAATGCACATTTAATAATGAAAACAACTTGTCAGAGAATATGTAATTGGAGAACCAGTGATGGGTTTGAGGAACTGCTTATCCAATTTGCATAAAAATTAAGAGGAGTACAGAGTAGTTTAAAAAATGGAAAGTTTCTTCAGATCTTGAAAATTAATTTCTAATGCATCAGAAACTATTATGTCCAGTATCAAATATAAAATCTCATTTCACTTTTAAAACCCTTCACAACCTGACCCCTACCTACCTTTCTAGTCTTCTTATACTTTAATCCTTCCCTCTAGTATCAAGTGATACCACTGACCTCTTTGCTATTCTTTGCACAAAACACTCCATCTCCTGACTCCATAGGTTGTCATTAGCTGTCCCTCATGCCTGAAATATTTTCCTATCTTACCTCTGCCTCGTGGCTAATTCTTCAAGTCTCAGCTAAAAATCTCATCTCCTCTTAGAAGCCTTTTCTGTGTGTGTGTGTGTGTGTGTGTGTGTATCTTTTAATCTTGTGTATACATAGTTAATTATCTTCTTTATTATCTTCTTTATAAGACTGTGAGATCCTAGAGAAGGAGCTGTTTTTTGTCTTTTTTTTGAATTTTTAATCCTTAGCATACTGCCCAGAACATTGTAAGCATCTAAAAATAAATGCTCACTGACTGTTGACGTATAGAAAAAGTAATCTCAAGAAAACACTAGAATATAGACCCAGAGGATGATCTACTAACTTGATATATCTTTTCAATCCCTTTGAGCTGTGATTCCAAGATCACAAAATTAAAAACTAACATTATGTGAAGAAGTGTTTGTTCTCTTTAGTTTTTTCTAAGCGTTGGTTATAAAGTTCATTGTACTCTTCCAGGTGATAGAGTGGATAGAGTGCCAGGCCTACAGTCAGAAAGACTCATTTTCCTGAGTTCAAATTTGGCCGCAGACACTTACTAGTTGTGTGACTTTGAGCAAATCACTTAACCGTTTGCCTCAGTTCCTCATCTGTAAAAATGAGCTGGAAAAGAACTACTCCAGTACCTTTGCCAAGAAAACCCCAAATGGTGTCATGAAGAGTCAGACATGACTGAAATGACTCAACAACAAGAAGTACCCTCAGGGCTGGTGTTAGAAAAGAGAAAGGAAAGAAAAGAAAATGGAGAAGATAGAAAAGGAAATATGGGCAGAAATGGAGAGGCAAAGGACAGCAGAGAAAATGAAATTAGAAAACAAATTCACTCCTCAAATGTGCTTTCTGTCCCTTTTTAGAACAGTAGACTGTGTTACACAAACATTGTGATTACATATAATGAATAAGGTCTCCACATGCTGAAATGAATACAGAACTCACAAGAAAAGGAGAATCTAACAATTGCTGAATGCTCAACATTATCCATTATCACTTCTGAATAACCTGTGCAATTGTAGAAAGCACTAGGTACAGAATCATATGAAGATAGAAAGGTTTTCAATACTGTATAAATATAAACCATCTAGAAATTCCAGAACAGCACTAGAAATCCAAAGTATCAGATTATTTGTATAAAGGAATGACAGTAAACATTATCTTTTTAAAGTCATATCACCACAGGCTTGCTCACAACACAAATTCCTCAAGGAATAAAGGAATTCTTCTGGGGGGGGTGTAGATATTTAAAAATAAATTGGCATAGCTTAATACATACATATGGAACATATGGTGAGAGAGAAGTACTTCACAATATTCTTTTAAATTGTGTTTTTTCTCCCTTATGCACTTCCTAGCAAGAAGGAAAAAAAAACTATCTTACCTGAATCAAACCCAAAACTTGGTACAATGTCCACTGTTCCATGAAAGGCTCCAGCCCATGCTGAGGTAGCAGTGGTGACAGTAGTAGGATCTGTCTTTGTGATGTCACACTGAGGAGCAGGAATCCTAGTTGTACGAACTGAAGGCATCAGCAAAGAACCATACCGAGGATCCAAATGGGAGCTGGCAGAAGGGTGGTGATGGTGGCGGTGGTGCATGTGTGGATGGGGATGATGGTGATGCACGTACACATCATGCATGTGTGTGTATGATGGGCTCACCTGAGATGTCAGTGGATAGTGCCAGGACTCTGACACAGGAGGGGGAGGGGGAGGGGCAGTCTGATGCAAATTGTGTCCTGGCCAGGGACCAGGATCAGCTGCTGCAAAGGTGCCTGGTGCAGTGACTGAGAAGTCAGGGTGAACTCCACTTAAACAGGGCCGAGGTGGGGGTTGGTAAGAGCTGGTCCAAAATGAAGTCGGGAAACTACTCCTCTGGCTTGAAAGAGTTGAGCTGTCTGAAAGCCAGGGGAAAAAAGTATACATAAGTTTCAGTTCTTGGATAGACTTACCTTGACTTGTCCAATAATATATTTTTTTAATATTCTTAAAACTTATTTATTTATTATTTTTAACATTTGTCCAATAATATTTTACACTCCTTCCCTTTGCATTTATGGGTGGAATAACATTAAAGATATCTCAGGGCTCTAAAGCCAGTGCTATTTGCAGATTCAAATAGTTGTATTGTTTTTCCTTCTCTGGACCTATGACTTTTGCCGTCATGTTATATGATGAGGTGTATAAGCCCTGCAGTTGAAATATTACTTATATCCTTTAAGGTACTCTCTGCTGCCACAAGGTGAGCTATGGTGCCTAGGTCATGGTCTTGTGCCTTGAACACTTTAACGTACACACGCACGCACGCATGCACGCATGCACACACACATACACACACATACACGATAATTATTTATTCAAATGGCTTAACATTTTTCTTTAAACTGGGTCTGTGATTTTAACTTTGTATGAAGCTACCAGTTAGGAACTTCCTCTCCAAGTGAAGATCAGGAACTTCATAACCTTAGAACAGTGGTTCTCAATTTTGTCTATAGCAGTAGAATCCTTCTATTCAAATAAAACTTTGATAGAACTCCTACAGTAAAATCCTTCAAAATGATTATTTTAATGCCTATTAACAAACAACATAAGAGAAGAAGAAGAAAAAGAAGAAGAGGAGGAAGGAGGAAGAGAAGGAAGGAGGGGGAGAGGAGAAGAAGGAAAGAGGGGAGGGAAGAAGAGGAAGGGGAGGAGGAGGAGGAGGGGAATTTGGAGTTTGTCAGGTTTCCCAGGAATAAGTACACTTTGAAAAACACTAACCTTTAGAGTATTATCTGAGAGCACTAAGAGGTTACTAGGGTCACAGAGCCAGTGTGTTTCAGAGGAAGGAATTGAACCCCAAGATCTCTGATTCCTAGGCCAGCTGTATCCACTACACTATGCTGTCTCTCAAACTTTATAATTATAGGTTAAATGAATATATACAATTGACTGATTACATCCATTTTCAAACAATAAGACTGTAGTAGGTTCAAGAATCAATTTTCAACAAAAATATTATTTTCTATAAGGGAAATGGTGTAATATAGAGGAAAGAGAACTGGACTGTCCTCCAGGAAAGGGATACCTTGACTTTCTGAGTTATTTCCTTCATCTATAAATTGTGAAGGTGAGGTTGAGCTAGATATTCTTTAAGACACTTTCTACCTCTAATAGGGGTAGGGAACCTGCAGCCTCAAGGCCACATGTGACCTTGATCCACATCTCATCCAAGTTTTACAGAATAAATCCTTTTATTAAGGTGTTTGTTCTGTGAAGTCTGGATTCAGTCAAGGGGCTGCACTTGAGGACCAGAGGGCCACGTGTGGCCTCGAGGATGCAGTTTCCCCACTCCTGATTAAGTGGACTAGTGGCCAGGGTAACGAGTGGATGATAAAAATATTCAAGATCATCATCCTCACTAAGACAGTAAAGAACTTACTAGAACAATAAAGCATTCTCACACTTCAGTGTCCCCATCAAAGTACTGAATTACACCTCCAATTGGGCAAGAAGGGACTATCTGAAATGGAATCATTTGAACCTCTATTATTTCTACATTTCACACCTCTACTATTTCCACATTTTCAAACCCACATTTCTAGGATGTAGGTTTCTGACCTCAAGGAAATTTATGCAACTGGTACCATTAATCATACACATTTACATGCATTATTTGACTAAAAGAATTAGGCTAGGACAGTAGATCTCAAACTTTTTCATTCCCTAACTTCCCTCAGGGAAGCCCTCAGGGCTGCTTTGCTTCTCTACCCAACTCTCCCAAAGTTAGGCTTACACCTTAAAAAGAAAAAAAATGTTCTTCTCATTCATCACTTAGACAAATGTGCATCACAGTTCTAGACTCTTCTCTCCTCTCAGCATTACTATACATTTTAAAAGGTATGCTTGGATTTGAAAGGCTTCAAGAAACAGCTGAAATTACCTCTGTTTATGGGCAGAGTCTTCAGAGTCAATAAACACATTAAATTACTACTATCAATCCATTAACCAATAAGTCTTTATTAAGTATGTGCCATGTGATAAGCATTATGCTAGGTGGCAGGCTTACAAATAAAATTTGTGAAACAATCTCTAGTCACAAGAAACTTATATTCTATTGGGGGATACCAAAGATATATAAATAGATGTAGATCATATAGATATAAACAGGTGATATAGATATATAAAAATATATACAAAATAAATTAAAAAAGAATAAAAAGTAGTTCAAGGAAGTTTGAAAGAAAGTACAGTAGCCCTTGAGGGTTTCACAAAAGACTTTAAGGGCTACATCTTAAAGGAAAAGAGGTATTCCTAGAGATAGAGGTGAGAAGGTAGTGTTATTCCAGATATGAGGTAGGCAATGCAAAGATCCAGAAATTGACTACAGGCAGGAGACCTGCAATCAGTAAATTAAATTATATTAAAATATATTAAAATTATACCTCTGACATGTACTAGCTATATGATGATAAGCAAGTTAACTTTATTTCTCTGTGCCTCAGTTTCTCTATCTGTAAATGGGAATAATCCTGCCTATTATACTTATTCACAGAGTTGAAAGTTAATAGATATAGCATTTTTCAAACATTCAAATACTACAAAAATGCTAGTTTTTATTATCATTATGTGCAAAACACTGTTCTAGGAACGGGAGAAAAATAAACACTAAATCAAACACTAACCTTCCAGGAGAGTCTATTTTTCCATGTGAATTTGTTAAATTGAGTGCACACTACTTGGGAAAGTCTCAAGTTAAAAATTAAGCTTGTACTGTAGGTATGAACAACACCATTAGTAAACAGAATTTAGCATCAGATCTATTCAAGTTGAGGATAACCAGAGCATACAATTCTATACAATTACTTTCACTTTCTCCCCTATTTTGTGATTCTGTCACAAAAATGGTATATATTATGTTTGAGAAGCAACCTGTGTCCAATATATAATAGAGTGGAAATACAAATTTACTCTGAGCTCCTTCAGAGCAACAACTACTTCTGGCCAGTCTTTCTATTCCCACTGTTCAGTACAGTGCCTGACTGTTTAAGGTTTAATAAATGCTTGTTGACTTGAAAGGTCTATTGGAGAGGTGGGATTTGAGTTGAGTTTTTGAAGGAAGTCAGAGAAGTTAAGAGGATAGAGGGATGAAAGTTATTTCAAGTATATAATTCCTCTTAATGTTACTGCCTTCTGTTCACTAATTATCTCCAATTTATCCTATATATGTAGTTTGTACATAGTTATTTATATAGTCCCTCCTCCTTTAGACTGTGAGCTCCTTGAGAGCGCAGACTATTTTTGGTAAGGTTTTATTTCCCTAGCCTAGCACTTAGCACAGTGCCTGGCACACAGTAGACATTTAATAAATGCTTGTTGACTGAAATTTGCTTCTAAATGCCAATTACAGATTACTTCTGGTATATCTATAGTATGTTATAAGTTTTTGGTCTAATGTTTCTCAAAATGAAACATAGGACCACCAAGGACTTCATAGGAATTGCTAGGTATTCATCAAGATTTGAGCTATAAATCCCAAAGTAGTGCTTAGTATCTAGGTAGCATTTATGAGTTATGAACTATTTAAACCTTAAATTTGATAACATCCTATAGGTGTGTATACATACATATGTGTTCATACCCATATACAATACATGTATATATGCACATGCATGTGTATATAATAAATACACATGCGTATGTATGTACACATGTATGTATACCTTCCCCACATTTATATAGACATACATATTTTATATCTCATAAAAACCCAATGTTAAGTAAAAAACACAGACAATATACATTATTTTGTGTGTTTTCCATATATGTCTATCTTGATTTTTAGGTTCTATGTATATGGAAGTAGGCTTACTTTTTGGTTTAAGATTTAACATGCCCAGAATTTGAAAAGTAAGCAGAGAGAGGCCTCACTTTCAGAGAGAGTGTTAACCTAAAACCTCTTCATCTTCTTTATTCTTTAGATCTTAAGTTTGATTACTGAACATAATGACATTAAGAACAGAAATCTATTTTTTTTTAAATCATTCTGTGAAGATAGAACATGACCTGAAAAGTGCCTCAGGGAAAAATGAAATTAAAAGTAATTTAAAGTTTGCACAGTCAATATGTATCTTGAGCCTAATATAAAGTTGCAGAAGTATATGCAATCTTTTTTTTTTCAAAACTGGTGATGTATTTTATAACCAAAAAAAAAATCTGGGAAAACAAATCTATTTAAGAACAAGTCCATGCTTCAGAACCATTACTTGTGATTCTGTTTGGTTAAGAAAATATATAAATTATAGTGATACAAAGAAACAGATGGAGTACTTTGTTTCTTGCCTGGGAATAGTGTGCTTATTTCATATGTATGTAAATATTTTTATTAAGTGCATTTTGCTTATATGCTCTTAATCACAGCCACATTTGTTGGATGAAAAATGTTAGCCCAAAAGGGCATAAAATAAGTTATTTCTGTACAAAATTACTTTTCATTTTAGAGATGGCATTTCAAGGCTTGTTAATATGGACACTCTACTAAGGCTTTGCTCTTAATGTTACTCAAATATTTAGAAACCTTTAACATTCTATAATGCTATTTTGAATGTCATGTTTTTGTTTGGTTTGCTTTTGGACAAAAGAACATTTTTAGTTTTTCACAAAACTATCTGTGTGAACTTAGATAAGTTATTTAAGCTTTCTGGAGCTTTCGCAGTTTTCTGATCTTCAAAATGAGAGGTTTGTGCTAAACGATTTCTAAATAGGGATAATAACTAGGTCCACTTTGGCTCTAAATAAAATTTTAAAATGATAAGTTTGATACCAACCACCATCACTACAAAGCTCATCTAGTCATTTCAGCGTCATATTTATTACAGAAATCCATCTGAGATATGACAGGAAGCTAATATGGAATAAC